TATTTTGGGTTCAACCTGGTTGATACATGTGTTCAAGGTTAGATGTAGTTTATGATCTCAGTACATGTATTGTTCTTTACAAGTCTACAAACATTCATTATCATCTTAAATAACTGTCACAGTAATGATCATGTCTATCATATTTGTTTTACAGAATCACAGACATTCAGAAACTAACAGTCAATGGATAACAGAACTGAAGTATGAGGCCTCTATAAGGTTTCCAAAGCCCTCACTTGGATAAGGGACATGGTGGAAACTGAAGAGTTTTGATCACACAATGGGAGCCTTTGTGGCTTCCTGATCTGTGTGTCTGTTCCTTTCACTGGTATCTCAAGAACTACTCATGAGATTTTAATGAAACCTTGTACACAGATGGTCTGGGATAACGTGCAGACTTGTTTTGTTTTTGTTTGAAACCTGTGCATATTAATTACCTAATTTTCGTGATAATCAGTCATGTTTCAGCTATCCCAATGACGGCTAAATGCTGACTGTTTGAGTTATAAAACTATATGTGTTGTTTGATTTTCTTCAAACTTTGTAGAAGGATTAAACATTATTAGAGGTTGATGCATGTCACTTGATTTGTAAAGTCTACTCAAGATGGCTGACTAAATCCATCTATCAGGTCGCCCAAGTAAAGAATAAAGTGTTTACTGGGTATACTATGTAGAAATCGTATACAATATTTACACAAATAAACCAACTTCACCATAGACATACCTCTTATTTATTTATTAAAGTGTATGTGCTGCTAATAGAGAAGGGATTTTTTTTTACAAAGGGTGCAGCGCCCTCATGCCATGGCCATGCGCCCCTTACCCTGGGGAGCAGATCCTCTGGCAACCATAACATTCTGATTGACCACATGTGGCCAGTTTTCAACTGCGACCTGTCTGGTAGTAATTTTGGCCCCAAGGAAGCCATAGAATGCTCCATTTTAACTTAGAATTATCAAAAACTACACACCCTGGTAGGGAGAACCCTATCTCCCTCCCTTGGTGGCACCGCTGAATTGCAGTGCTCTTGCAGTTTTTTTCTAGAAAAACCTCTGTAGAGCAAATACAGTATTTAACACGTGGAACATTTTCAGAAACTGTGTAAAGCATGGTCAGTGCTTCATCAAATATTGAATGTTTTTATTGTGAAATTATTCATATTTCTTTGTCATTCGTATCAATATGCAATATCTATCAATGTGAACACATATACTGACGTTCATTAAATCACATGCCGTTGTGTTAAGTCCAAATCTTTAGAGCATGCCCTCTATAGAAATCAAGTTTATCAAGCAAACTTTTGTCCATGCAATTGTGTGTAAGACAATATTTTAGTTAGACTTGGTCACTTCTATGTGGCTGCATTTGAATGAAAAAAAAAATGTTTAAGTCACAGATACATGTTTTGCCACTTTAAACTGCTAACATGACCAAGGTTAATTTCTTTTTTAAGAATGTTATTTTCTGCATGTTCAGGGTTATATTGGGCAAGGAATTTGACAGATTATTACAAACTATGAAGCATAAATTAAAGGTTCAAAATATGTCATGGCAATATTTTGTACTGCCACTGAAAGACCATGATTGCAAAAGGTTATAAAACGTATAGTCTATATTCTGATTTGCTGTCCCCACAAACCTGTGCTTGATAGTGTTAGAAAAAGCTGTATTCTCAGTAAATGGAAAGGTTTGATCCATCAATCAGCATTTCTGTAACAAATCAATTTCAAATTTAAACCAATAGAATTTGTCGTCTTATATCACGCCATAGCTAAACATGTGACTGTTTCCATGGAAACACAATGCAACACATGTTTGATCTTGTCAACAGTGAAAATAAGTTGATAGTGAGAATCCTGCAAAGGTATGATGAGTTGACAGTTAAATTGATGAACCATGGCCAGTAAAGTTGTGTATAGTTAAACCTGTGTATAGCGACCACCCAAAGGACTTCATTAAAATGTAGTCACTGCTAACACAGGTTTGTACCTCATTCACTTGAATGGAAATTATTTGACAGACTTTAAGTTCAGATGTGGCTGTATCTATTTCTCAATCATTTCTAATCTCAAAAACAGGGTTTACCTAAGGTTTGGAGTATGGTAGATTCTATGGCAAGATCATACTTGCTTTCCTATGTTTATTCTCATTGATTCAATCAGACATTTGAAGTGTGATGCCAGTTATTTTATTTTTATACATAGCTGCCATGTGAAAGTTGGAGCTTGTCTTTACTTTGACCTTTATTGAGCAGTTCTAACAGGATTATAAACATTGTTTGATTTGAAAAAATAGACTATTAATTTAAATAGCCCTGGCTTTAAAAAAAGAAAGATTTTGAATGAAAATTACAGAGTTGGATGTTCTATAATTAAATCAACACTATTGCAGCATCATTGATACTTTCTATTTTGAATTAAAAAATCTTTATCATGAAATTTACAATACATTAAATTAAATTAAAAGATAAATGTACTCTGGTATAAAAAATTACAAAAATAAGTATCTCAAAACCATGTTCACAAAGCCTCTAATTATTTCTTATGACAATCTCAAAACATTTTATTTACATTTGTGGGTGTCATTGGATTTGTATACGACGGCCATTTTGAATTCACATAATATAGTTGGAGTGGCCATCTTGGATTGAAATGATTATTAAAATAACAGAACTATGTGGAATAGCATACTGTAGGTATAGAAATAGATTCCCATGATAAGTACTGTTTATGACAACGTATAACTGCCTATAACACCAGAGACAATGATAACTATAATCAAATGTATGGAAGGACTAACCAGTTCCGTTTTATACTATGACAAGACTTGAGATTGATATATACAATGTACCGGGTAGTAACTTTTCATGAAACTAAAAATCCTGAGTTAAATAAAAAAAAATGTGATAATAACTAAGAAAAGAAATACTTACAAATGTATTTATATTTAGCTGATTATCCTATAGCTTTTTCCCAAAATAGTTCTAATAAATTTAAGGAAATTTTAAATGTGATCTATAACTTGTGAAAAATAAAATTTGTTCATTTTCTTGACTGATTTATTATAAATGAAGTGTAGACATCAATGTTACAACGAACTTCACCTGTTATGTTCAAAATATAGTTTACTCTTGGTGGGGGAACAATTCCTTGAATATTTCACCATCTCCTTTCTTCTTATCTAACCATTTCTGTGCGGGGAAAAGTGTCCTCATACCTGTACTTTGATTAGTGACTTCAATTTTATCCAGAAACCAGCCGGGGCTAAAACCTGAATTATCGTGTTCTACTCGACACTTAATCAACTCTCCAAGATCTAACGCTTCGATCTGAAATTTATCCACCTGTTTTCGTTCGAACAGATCACGGAATCGCTGAGTTAGTGGCCTTTTTCCAGAATCTCCATACTCTCCATATAAAGTTATGAAAACATTGGCATTTGTTCCGGAACCCTTTTCGTCTCCAGTAGTGACTACTATTTCATATTTTACTGGTGCCAGATCTAGAATAGGGGAAAGAAAAAAAAAAGATTTTAAATTGGCTGGAAACATTATGCAAATATGGAATCAGTAAACCTCAAGGAACCACCATTCTTATATTAAACTGTGGTACTATGCAATGGAACCACGGTATGATGCAGTGGAACCATGGTACGGTGCAGTGGAACCATGGTACGGTGCAGTGGAACCACGGTACAA